TTTATATACAAATTATTAAAATCTTTAATAAATCTCAAATAAATACCTAATGAGTTTTTTAAAATTTTTAATAAATATTAAATAAAAATAAAATGAACCTTCTAAAATCCTAAATAAATACCCAATAATTTTTTAAAATCTAAACTCAATTATGTTTTATCTTACTATCTTACTATCTTCCTATATTATAAAAATTATTAAAATGTTCAATAAATCATGAATAAATATCCAATAAATCTTTTAAAATGTCAATAAATTCTCTTAAAATACCTACAAAATTCTAAATAAATATCTAATAAGTCTCTTAAAGAAAATTTATCATGGAGGTAAAGCCTCTGTTGAGTCTGATTATATTCAACTTTTTATTTAATTTCTATCAAAAAATTCTAACTAAGTTATAATAATCTGACTTAATGATCTAACTTCAATTATATTTTAATTATTATATATTTTACTTCACTCAAATTATGAGTTGGAGTTCTAAGAAAAATTAAAAATAGACAGAGTAAATGTAAGTAAAATATGAAAGCTTTTATGTTTTAACTTAAAACATACCAAACAATAATGCTAATAAACTGCACCTTTTATGTTTTAACTTAAAACATTTGGAAGTGTTGGGATTAGGCCCAACGCCCTCTTAGGGCCATATGCAGCAGGCCCAATTGCGCATCCACAGGCCCAAGAGGAGGAGGCATACCCACATGGGCAACACCACGTGGGCCAATGAGAGGCTTACATGTGCAGATACATGTCAGTACTTGGGGCTATAAATACCTCCCAACCACCTCCGAAGAAGGTAATTTATCTCTACGCTTCTCTCTCTGCAATTACTCCTTGAGAGCATCTCTCTCTAGAATACTGAGTATTGCTGACTTGAGCGTCGGAGTGTTTTCCCTGAGGAAACGACCTCGGGATTTTCAGGTGTAGGAGCAGTTGAGGATTTCAACAGTGTTGGACTGCGAAGTTGCCCAAACATTTGGCGTCGTCTGTGGGAACTCGAACAAAAAGCTGTGTGACTTAACCTGCTAAAAGACAATATGGTCCGTACCTTTACAGGAGGACGCCCTCCAAGAAATGAAATAGATGAACAGGAGGACGATCACGTATCTGAGGCCGGCTTGAATGACTTTAGGCCGATGCCAAGAAATCTTTTTGTAGGAGGAGCCGAACAGGATCACCTAAGTGAGACGGATGATGAAAGAACACCAACTGGGTATGCAACCCAGCCTGAACAGTTCCAAGCTCCAACAAGAACGAGACAAAGATCTGCCAGACCGAACAATTCACAGCGTGAACGACCTGAAAGGTCAACAGAACCTGCTCGGACAACCGAGCTCGAAGAGAGAACCAGAGTTCTCGAAATGGCAATGGGAAAAATCCTTGCCCGCCTAATCCCAGATGACCCCCTGATTCCTTTGCTGAACAAGGATGCACAACCAGCTGCGGTTGTGGCGACTAGAAACTCCCTCGCTCTAAGCAATATAGTAGTGCCGACCAGGCCTAGGGGAAGTGGGAAGCTGAATATCGAGCCCAGCTCGTCCAAATACAGTGAAGAATTGATGAGAAAGAACGCATACCTTGAAAGGCAACTGCGGGATGTACAGAAATCCATTGACGAGCTGAAAAGCCCCCGGTCGCATTAGCAGACCTTGGATTTGGATAGTGCTCCACTGAACCTATCCATCACGGCAGAACCATATCAAGAGGGATTCAAAATTCCCCACCTAGAGACATATGATGGCACGAAAGACCCGGATGAACATCTACACACCTATTAAGCCATCATGAGGATTCAAAACGCTAATGATGCCATGATGTGCAAAGTGTTTCTGGCGACACTGAAATCAACAGCCCGAAGATGGTATCACAAACTCCCCAGGCATTCAATAGATTCATTTTCCCAGCTCGCCAAGCTGTTCTCTAACAAATTTGCAAGCCAAAGGGAGATCAAGCGCACGGCTACTGAGCTGATGCAAGTTAGCCAGAAGGAATGGGAGTCTTTGAGGGATTACATGCAGCGGTTCAACAAAGCCACATTGGACATTGATAATGTCCCAGACACGATCTGCCTGTCCGCCCTGTTACATGGGTTGAAGCGTGGCCGGTTCTTAGACGATTTGCTCGAAAACCCACCGAAGACGTGGAACGAGGTGAATGACAGGTCGGCCAGCTTTATACTGTCAGAGGACTTTCAGTCGTCCAAACGACGAGTTGATGATAAGCCGAGCAGAGGCCAAGAACAACAACCGAGAAGAGAAGAAAAGAAGAAGCAGAAGATCGGTGAGCCATGGGGGAAACTAGCTGAGTTCCCGAAATATGCCAGTTACATTCCTTTGACCTTGCCCAGGTCTCAAATCCTAGCACAAATTTAGCACTGGGTTCGGAGACCTCCACCCCCACTACATGATTCCCCGAGGGCAGATAAGAGCAAGCATTGTGACTACCATCGTGTATATGGTCACAATACCGAGGATTGCCAACACTTGAAGGACGAGTTAGAGTTTTTGGCTCGTAACGGGAAGCTAGAAGGGTATGTTCAGAAGCCTCACACCCAGCAACCCACTCAAACCCATTTTGTGTAGGCGTATGACCGACCTCAAGGACAGAGGTACCAGCATGGAGGGACGTAGGATGCATATCAGGATAACCAGTATCCGTCTGAACAGAGCAGAGCGTACCGAGGACGTCCTTTCAACAGGAGAGGGGGGGACCGAGAACTACTGCCCTGAATCAAAAAGACAGAAAAGGGGTAGGTTATGCTGGGATACCCCCACCTTCTGGTACAATAAACATGATATCGGGTGGCGTTCACTCTGGGGGCCAAAGCGCCCGAGCTCGCAAGGCATATGCCCGACAGGTGATGACCGTCAACAAAAACAGACCCTTGAAACGGCCGTTTGAGGAAGCAGAATGAGAAAATATGCCAATCACATTCAGCCCGGCAGATTACCAGCGAGCAGAAGGAGAGTCTGACATTATGATGCCCCATGCAGATCCCTTTGTGACAACAGTTCATATAGGCAATCATAATGTCAATAAGGTGTTTATTGACACTGGCAGTTCGCCAGATATCCTGTATTGGGGTTGCTTCCAGAAGATGCAGCTAAATCCGAGCTCGCTGCAGAAGCACGAAGGGCCAATATACAAGTTTGATAACCAGCCCGTCCCTGTTGAGGGAGTTATTACTCTTCCTATATATGTGGGCTCAGAACCGCGCTTCAGGATGGCTTCGGTCACCTTCCTAGTCGTTAAGATGGAATCAGCTTTCAATGCTATACTAGGAAGAGCCACCCTGTGCGAGCTGAAGGCTGTTATCTCACAGCCCCACCTCTGTATGAAGTTCCCAACTCCGCAGGGGGTGGGAGTGCTGAAGGGGAACCAGAAGATGGCCAGGGCATGTTATCAGGATACGTTTAAGAAGGTTGAGCTCGCTGTAGCCCCTGGAGGATCTGGAAGTAGTAGGCCGACTCAGCTCGGTCAACAGACAATGAGTATATCTGACATTGAGTATCGACCTGAGGGTGTTGAGCAGAAGGCAGAGCTAGTAGAGCCAGTGGAAACGATGCCTTTGAACCCGGGTGTGCCGGAAAGGACAGTGAAGATCGGCACTAAACTTACAGGCGAAGAGCGGGCAGAACTTTTGGAATTCCTGAGGAATAATCAGGACGTGTTCGCGTGGACTACGGACGAGATGCCCGGCATTCTGGCAGAGTTGACAGTCCACAAGCTCAGCACAGACCCCACCAAAAGGCCAGTGGTTCAAAAACGACGCCTTTTCGGCCCTGAGAAGCAAGCTGCCATTGACGAGGAGATACAAAAGCTGTTACAGGCAGGCTTCATTAGAAGAGTGGAGTACTCTGAGTGGGTGTCCAACCCTGTGCTCGTCAAAAAGCCAAATGGCAAGTGGAGGATGTGTATTGACTTCACCAACCTCAATGATGCATGTCCAAAAGACCCTCATCCTTTGCCAAACGTCGAGAAGTTAGTGGAGCGGGCAGTTGGGCATGAACGGATGAGTTTTCTTGACGCCAGCTCGGGCTATCACCAGGTTCAGTTATTGTTAGACGACCAGGAAAAAACAGCTTTTTACGCTGGTGACGCGATTTACTGCTATGTCATGATGCCGTTCGGCCTCAAAAATGCTGGAGCAACATACCAGAAGCTGGTGCAAATCATCTTTAAGCTCCATATCGGCAAGAACATAGAAGTATATGTAGATGACATGATAGTCACCAGCGTGCGAGCTGAGGATCACATTGGCGACCTGGAGGAAACTTTTCAAAATTTGCGCCGAGCACAAATGAAGCTAAATCCTTTGAAATGTACATTTGCTGTAGAGTCGGGAAAATTCCTAGGATATGTGGTATCCAAGAAAGGAATTGAGGTAAATCTAGAGAAGGTTGAGGCCGTTCAGCAGATGGAACCACCAAGGACTGTCAAAGACGTGCAGTGTTTGACGGGCCGTGTTGCTGCGTTGCACAGGTTTATAGCCAGATCGGCAGAAAGGTGCCTTCCGTTTTTCAAAGCTCTGCGGGAGCCTAAGAACTTCCAGTGGACCAATGAATGCCAACAGGCATTTGACGAGCTCAAACGATATTTGGCATCCGTACCCCTGCTGTCCAAGCTTGTTGATGGAGAATGTTTATACCTTTATCTGGGGGTCACACAAGAAGCAGTGAGTTCGGTACTACTGAGGGAAGAGAATAAGAACCAGAAGCCTATCTGCTACGCGAGCAAGGTGTTACAAGGTGCCGAGCAGAACTACCCGCTAGCAGAAAAGGCTGCTTTTGCATTGGTTTGCATAGCTCGTAAGCTGAGAGCCTATTTTCAGTCTCATCAGATTGTTGTTTATACTGATTTCCCGCTAAGGAAAATACTGCAGAAGCCAGAGCTCTTTGGTCGGCTTATCGGGTGGAGTGTCGAACTGAGTGAGTATGACCTTAAGTTCCAGCCGCGCACGACTATAAAAGGCCAAGCTGTGGCAGACTTCCTAGTTGAATGTGCCCCAGCGGCTGTGAAAGAAAAGGCACCTGAACACCCATTCTGGGTTTTGTATGTGGATGGAGCTGCTAATGACGAAGGATCTGGTGCTGGAGCTGTGTTACTGGGCCCTGATGGTTTCAAGTCCGAGCACGCGCTGAGGTTTAAATTCCAGACCACCAATAATGCTGCTGAATATGAGGCCCTCATCTATGGTTTGAAGCTGGCGTCTGAGCTGAAGGTACAGAGCATACAAGTTTTCAGTGATTCTCAGCTCGTGGTGGGCCAAGTAAATGGCAAATGTGAAGTTAGGGATCCCCAGCTTAGCCGCTATACCTCTGTGGTCAACAGATTGAAGTCAAGATTTGCTTCATTTCAGATCGACAAAATACCGCGGGCAGATAACCACCGAGCCGACGAGCTGTCAAAGTTGGCATCCTCACAGGACATTAACCCTCAGAGATCAACAATTCTCGAGGTACTTGACGCACCAAGCTACACCGATTCCACAGTTGAGTGTCAGTTACTAAGCACAGACCCCTCTACGTCGAGCTGGACCACCCCTCTCATAAATTATCTACAAAGTGGCGAGCTACCTGAAGACCAGTCCGCTGCAAAATTGATTAAGCGTAGGGCGGCACATTTCACTTTGTTAGATAACCAGCTCTACAAGCGAGCAGCCTCAATGCCCTTACTACGCTGCCTTACTCCTTATGAAGCTGAATACGCTGTGAGAGAAGTTCACGAAGGAGTTTGTGGCACGCACATCGGCGGCAAAACTTTAGCTCGGAAACTCCTGAGACATGGTTATTACTGGCCCACCATGGTTGAGGACGCGCAGAACTATGTCAAAAAATGTCCGACCTGCCAATTCAATGCTGATGGTATACATATGCCAGGTATTTGAGCTTGTTCTAAAGTTCATGCAAACTTCCTGTTTGCCTATAAACTGAGCATAAGTACCTTCCTTGAAACAGGGGAAATGCTATCCTCTCTTACATCCCCCTGGCCCTTTGCTCAATGGGGTGTCGACCTGCTCGGCCCTTTCCTCAAAGGCAAAGGAAGCTGCACTTTCCTGGTCGTGGCAGTGGATTACTTTACTAAATGGATAGAAGCTAAACCATTGTCCACGACAACAGAAAGGAAAATAGAAGAATTATTGTTCAATTCAATATTGTGCAGGTATTCTTTGATGACCGAGGTCATAAAATATATGCAAACGTGATTTGTAGCTCAGCTCGCTAATCTGTGTGCAGGTTCGGCATACCTAAGCGAATTATCGCCGACAATGGGCCACAGTTCCGAGCGGCAGCGCTGAGATCGTTTTGTGACGACTATGGCATTGAGCTCGCCTTGACGTCCATGTATACTCCACAGTCCAACGGGCAAGCCGAGTCAACCAATAAAATCGTCTTGCGAGGCCTCAAGACACGTGTTTTGGCCGCGCATTCTAATTGGGTTGACGAGCTCAATAAAGTGCTTTGGTCTTGTCGCACCACACCCAGCTCGGCCACGGGGGAAACCCCTTTCAGCCTGGCCTATGGAGCTGAAGCCGTCATCCCAGTGGAGGTTGGATTGCCGTCCGATAGATCAGATTGTCATGACGATCAGAATAATGAACAACTCTTAAGAGAGAACCTAGACTTTGTGGAAGAAATCAGGGAGATGTCCCGAATAAGAAATATGGCGCATCAAAGCCGCGTTGCAAAATTTTACAATAAATGAGTTCGAGCTCGTCAATTTCAGGTTGGCGATCTGGTTCTACGCAAGGCTGGATTAACCAACAGTTATTCACACATGGGCAAGCTCGCCCCTAATTGGGAGGGCCCGTATATGGTTATTTGAGTTAAGCGGCCTGGCTCTTACATGTTAGCAGATATACAAGGGCGTCAGTTACCTTACCTTTGGAACGTACAAAATCTTAGAAAGTTTTACATTTAATGTGTGTAATATTATTTCGCTTAAGGTGTTATTCAACAGCTGTAAACAAAGATGTACAGAAATTGCAACAAAGATTCAAATGAAAATTCATTCTTGTATTTCATCAATGATGTTACAGAAGTACATGCGATCTGAATCCAGTGATCAAATACAAAAATGCTAAAACAAAAGTACAAAAGAATGAAACAACAAATCCTAAGCCTAGTCATCCGTCAGATCGACGGGCATGGATGCGTCAGTCGCAGCCGCAGGAGAGCGAGCAGGAGGAGACCGGGCAGCGGCCTCAGAGGCTGGCGCGTTGACGGGCGAGCTGGATGGCACAGCTGCGAGCTGAGAGTTGGGTGGGGTGCTTAAAGGCTTCTGCTCAGCTACAGGAGCACCCTCTACCCATGCATCAAAGGAGGCCAGCCCTGTTGGGTCCTCCCCGTCCTCCAGAACGGATGGTGGCCAGACGGGCACGCCTTCCTCGTTCAAGTCCCACCTCAGCCTCACAGTTGTGTCAGCGAGGGGAGCAAGGCTCTTACCCTGCTCGTCGAGCTTCTCCTCGTCAAAGAAGACCAGCTCGCGGATTGGAAAATCTGGGCGGTGGTGCAGCACCTTCCCACGAATCTCATTGTAGATTTCCGTGGTTACGTTTGCAGACGCCACCGCCACTGCGTCTTGGAATGCGGCTGAACCGACCAGCCACTCTGCACCTTGAGCCCGTGCCATCGCGACAGAGCGCCCGTGAGTGACTTTCAGTTCATTCAAGGCCTCTTCAGCTGCGTTCAGATTTCGGGCAGCTTCAGCGACCTGATTCCTTAAGGAGGCCAGCTCGTGCTGAGTGCGGTCTCGGTCGGCCTCGGCCTTCTTCGCCCGTTCCTCAACCCGGACGGTTTCCTCCTTGGCCGCCTGAATCCCGCTTTCCTTTTCAGCCCGCGCTCGATCCAGCTCCTCCCTTAGCTCGTTATTTTTGCTGACGAGCTCGTCTGCTCGGCTCTCCGCGGCAGCAGCTCGGTTCGCCATTTCAGAACCTTGCAGACGATTCACATCGTCCACAAGGCTAGCCTTCTCAATGGCCAGCTCTTTACACTTGGCACCGAGCTCGGTGTTCTCTGTACGAGCCGCCTGCTCGCTCTCGTACAGTGCCACCGCGTAATTGAACGCCTGTCAAACAGTTATCACTGTTAGTCTCTAAAAAGAAAAAGCAAAATATTCAAGCAGGTACGAGCAGGTACTTACATCCATCAATTTAATCATGGCGACCTGACCGCCATGCTACTGCACAAAGGCTTTGGCCCGCTTATTGTCAGAAGGGGGCACAAAACTGTGCATGGCTTGCACCATGGCAGGCTGCAATTCTGCCCGCACATAAGTGAAGCCCTCAGGATAAGCAATCCTGAGGCCCATCGAGGTAGATGCAGCGGCGGGCTCCACTGCTGCCCGCACAGTCGCTGACGGTGCGTTGGGCGAACGCACCGTTGTTGGGCGAGTGCCTGTGTGGGCTGAGTCCCCCCACTTCTTACGCGCCTAGCAAGGGGGACCTCGTCCTCCTCGCTCTCTGTCTCCTCCCGTGCACGTCTGCGTGCACTCGGGGCCGCAGCCTCAGGTCTGTTATCTGCTTGCGGCCTTGACGACGAGCTGGATCCCCTGTGAGACGGGCCGCGTGATTGAGGCGCTAGGGGTGGCCGCTCGTCAAACCTTGTCTGACGGGGTTGCGTGCTGCCCGACGCGCGACCTCGTGAGCCTTGGGCCCGCTGTCGTTGGCGTTCCAAGATGCTGCTCATGTCTCCTGCACAGAAAAACGCATAAGCCTCAGCCCGGCTACAATTAAAACTATATGATAAAAAAATACCTTCGCTGAACAGGTTTGTTACATCGACAAACCTTAACACGACGAGAGCCTCCGAGGTAACCAAGGCTTCTAGATCTATTAGACCCTCCCCCCGCGCATACTCCAGTAGTTGGTTCTTCAGATCGACATCCCGAGGCAGTAGCTGAGGATAGTTGATATGAGCGTTGGGGGTTCGCCACTCAGACAGCCGGGCAGCGAGGTCGTTGCTTATCCTTTCTGCTCGCGTGTCGCGAACGAAAATAAACTGTCTCTTCCACCTCGCCACCTTGTTTCTCACATTTTTGAAGAGCTGGCTCTTATCCCTCCCTGAGAGGTAGTACCACTTCGCTCCTCGCGAGTTCGGACATAGCCGACACTGAAACAGCGACCTGAACACGATCGCCTTGGCCGGCACCTCTAGTCGCTCGCACAACAGCATAAAGCCAATAATAAACCTTATGCTGTTAGGCGTCAGCTGCGTCAGTGCCAGCTCGTATTCCGCCAGCAGATCGAACACCAATCTGGGCAGGGGAAACCGCAGGCCGGTGTCAAAGTGGTCCGCATACACTGGGATCCAACCTGTCTGTGACACCGTGCAAGCCCTCTCATTGGGTGCGCCTGTTCGTAACAGTATTGTCCGGGGAATATGATATGCCCTCACCATATCCTCCAACCTCCTGTACCCGCTGATTGAAGGCGTGCAGTTTGCTACTTCATGATGAAGCACAGCCCGGAACCTAAATCCGGCGGGCAGGTCCTTCGGCGCCTTTCGCAGGTTGCTCAACCTGCCCGTTATGGTCCTACTCTCCCATTCTTCCATCATAGGCCGGTCTGAAACATGGCTCACTACATCCCCTACCCCCTCCTCGCGGCCTGGTGTTCCCTCGGACGAGCTGCTCGACGGTGCGCTGGGGTGCTCGACACCGTTGTCGCTGGCGCTGGAACTCGTGTTGCTCTCAGACGCCATTGTTTCCGGCACATCCTGCAACTCCGGTGGCACTATCATCGTGATAGGCTCCACTGACAAAACCCCTCCCTCTTCTCCCTCTTTGCCCTGGTTACCTCGTTGCTCTGTGAGTTCTCTCAATGAAACCATTTTTACCTGAAACTGGTGTGAAGTTGATTCGATGTACTGATTCTTCAGGCTGGAGCGTCCTTGCTTCAGAGAATTTTGGAAAGTTAAGCAAACACAGAAATGGAAATGAAAGAGGAAACGGTTACGCAGAGAAGGATATGGCAGTGTTAATTGCCGTACGCGTGTTCCTGACGCGCCAATTCGCGTCATATACGTGGCACACGCTTAACGTCCCTTCTGCATAACGTGCGCCGCCTTTAGCTGTCACGTCCCTCGAATGCTGAGCCAGCATTTATGACGGGGAAGACAGAGGGATACGGGGAGATCAACCGTATCTCCTCAGAGATCTGCTTGATTCAAAAAATCCAAAAGATTCAGATCGTCAATGCTGATGTGTACCTTGTACTGTCACATCAGCTCGCCATAGCGAGCACACTTGCCAGGTTGTGACAAAGATGATATTCGCCAGATCGGCTCAACCATTCCAGTTCGTTCACAAGTATAGACCGTTTACTAAAACCCCTATTAATTCAGCTCGTTACATATCGCGACGACAACCACATTTGTCAAGTCGCCACACAGATTTGCATAAACCAATGGGCGCCTATGGTCACCCTATTTGACAACACTACTCGTGCGAGCTGAGAAAGCTCAGATAAAGAATTACGAGCTGAGACTTTACATGAGCTTCCTGCTTCCAGGTCGTCACCTCAGTTTCATGGCTCTAGGTCATAGTGCCTCGGCTCCGGCCATAGTGACCCCGAGTCACCTATTTCACTTCAGCTATGCCTATAACACATGACTCTGTGTCATACATTTTTACCTCAGCTATGGCCCAAAACACATGCACCGAGCTCGCCTGGTTTTAACACCAGCTCCCCCGCGCCTGCTCGATAGGAAGCCGGCATACACATGCACAACAGAATTGGCCGCGATGGTTTCAGGCCGCCTAGATCAGTCGTGCGTAAGGGCGAACATGAACATAAAACATCACTCCTCATCCTCAGGGTCATCCTCAGGGTCAAACACCGTGCTAACAAAACTCCCGACCCAGTTCGTCAACCGAACACCGAGGGGGGAGTAATGTTGGGATTAGGCCCAACGCCCTTTTAGAGCCATATGCAGCAGGCCCAATTGCGCACCCACAGGCCCAAGAGGAGGAGGCATACCCACATGGGCAACACCACGTGGGCCAATGAGAGGCTTACATGTGCAGATACATGTCAATACTTGGGGCTATAAATACCTCCCAACCACCTCCGAAGAAGGTAATTTATCTCTACGCTTCTCTCTCTGCAATTACTCCTTGAGAGTATCTCTCTCTAGAATACTGAGTATTGCTGACTTGAGCGTCGGAGTGTTTTCCCCGAGGAAACGACCTCGGGATTTTCAGGTGTAGGAGCAGCTGAGGATTTCAACAGTGTTGGACTGCGAAGCTACCCAAACAGGAAGTAAAGACAACTAAATAAAGAAAAATTAGAGTAAAAAACGATATAATAATAGTTGTATATACAAGGAGTGATTAGAATAAAACTACATCAAGTGAATGATAAGGGGAGTAAGATTAATAATATACAAATTATTAATATATTGCAAGCAAATGTGATGTTGAATGTAGAGTAGAGATAAATAAAATAATAAAATCAAGGGTAAGCTATGTGTAAAATAGTCTCAAAAACAATTAATAAAAAGTGAAGATGTAAAGTAATAATAAGTGAAAAAATCTAAGAAAATAATACAAAGAAGCTTTATTTTTTATGTTTTGATTTTGAACATTTTAATTACGATCTCCATGTGTGAACACCCAAAGGAAAAAAGGGTAGCAAATGATAATCAAAAAGGGCACCGCATCTAGTCAGGTGCGGAGATATAGCTTAAATAGAACTAGAACATTTGTTACCCAATGAGTTGATGTAAGAAAGAACTAAATAAAGAAATATGAGGAGATATACCAAAATAATTAATAATAGGGAGAGAAACTAAAAAAAGAAAAAGGACATTGGAAGGATAGAGGGTGTAAGGACAGGTCCGGGGCGCCCAACCTCGGACGTACGGTAGTAATTCCTTTATAATCGGAGTAAAGAATAAATCCAAAACTTCCTGCTTAAATAGCTGCATGACAGCAACAATAGGTATGCCCACACCTGATTCCTTATGATAAGTTGCACAGCAGTTACGATGGGCACCCTTGCATTTGAATATCTCTCAATTTCCCAGTCCCGAAATAATCATCTGGAGAGCCACGTCAGACTCTGATTATCTTGCTTGGCATGCCACATGGGTTCCTCACTGAAGCCTATAAATACCCCCCAGGGGCCACGTCAAAAAGGTAATTGAAACCAACCCTAAGCTCCTTTTATCTCCACTCTAAAGGTAGCCCCGATAATTGTTGACTTAAGCATTGGAGTGTCTACCCCGAGTTTCACCTCGGGGCTTTGCAAGTCAATCCGAAGTGCAGACGTGAACTGAAGAAGGACTTCTGGTTTGGTGCAATTACATTTGGCGCTGTCTGTGGGAATCTGAACTGAAAGCTCTTTTGTTGCTCTCTCATCATGGTTAACACTCGATCAGTCCGAGCTGGAAACTCATCTCAGCCTCTTGGACGAGGTCAGGTCCCCAGCAACCTTCCACCTCACCTCTCACCTCCGATCCTAAATATGTTCCCTCTTGTTGATCATGTAGAAGGAGGAGATGAAAACCAACCACATAACTCAACTCACAACTCAGCCTCCACTGCCAACCAGGACGTAGTTGTAGCTCAGCTTGCTTCCATGCAACAACAATTTGGTGTCTTTTAGCTAGTATTGGCTCAACTCTTAGCTCGGAACAACCCTGGTGATCCCCTCATCAATTTACTTAACCCTGCTCCACAAACCCCCAGCTCCACAGCAAAACCTTGAACCAGTTCAACATGCTCCTGCTCTTAGTGAATCTCAAGGTCAATCTCATGTAGCACCAGCTCAGCAACCCCTTTCTGATGATGTCACTCGATGTCTAGACAGCTTAGAAAAGCTAGTAGCTGAACAGCGAGGTGCCCCACCTTCACACCATGCTGCTAACTCTATATCCCACCCTCTGAACACTAACATCACACTGGAACCCTACTCTGCTGGCTTTAAGACACCTCAGCTTGAGACTTATAATGGGACGAAGGATCCCGATGATCACCTACATGCTTTCTACTCTTGCATGCAAGCTCAGAACGCCTTTGACGCGTTGATGTGCAAGATCTTTCCCTCAACCCTCTGAGTTAATGCTCGAACCTGATATTACAATCTACCTCTGAGGTCGTTCAGCTCTTATACAGAAATGGCATCTGCTTTTGCCACAAAGTTTTCTAGTAGAAGGTTGACCAGGAAAACTACTTTTGAGTTGATGCGAGTTAAACAAAGGAATGGTGAATCTTTGAAGAATTATATGAGCAGATTCAATGATGCAGTACTAGAAGTTAGCTCCTTCGACCAGGTTGTGGGAATTGCAGATGTGATCTCAAGTCTTAACCATGAGAGATTCAGGGATAGTTTGCTCAAGCATCCTGCCACCACCTTTAGCGAGGTGAATGATAGATCTCTGAAATTCATAACTACTGAGAAGTATGCCTTGTCGCAAAAGCCAAATCCCTCTAAGAACCAAAACCCAAACTAGAGAGATGAGAATCCGAGCAGGATACGAATGAAGACAATACAAAACTGAGGTCCGATTTTGACCTCCACATCAAGATTCGGAAGGTCGAACTCTGCACCTCCACAACAATCTGCAAGGAAACCTCCAATTACTTGGACCCCTTTTAACTTGCCGAGGTCAAAGAATTTCATGCAGATTAAGAACAAGATGGACTTAAGGCATCCGGGTCCTATGAGAACTGTTGCTACTAGCCGAGATCATACTAGATATTGTGATTTTCATTAGGATCACGGTTATACAACAGAGTAGTGCAACAGCCTGAGGTCCAAACTGGAAAGTCTAGTTCAAAAAGGAATGTTGAACGAGTACATCCAGAGAGCTGAACAGCCAAGGTTTGTCAAAGAATAGGGGCCACAACCTCAAGGAATTCGTAATCCACCAAACAGGGAAGGAGTGGGACATTAACAAGCCTCACCTCCACTTCTACCACCAGCCAGAATTATACACATGATTACAGGAGGATTGGAAGCATGAGGGTTGAGCTCCAAACAGAGAAAGCTATATGTCAGAGAGGTAAAGCATCAGAACCAAGCTTAGAAAAGGAAACTTGATGATGCTGACTGAAAAGATCAACCGATCACTTTTACACCCGTTGATTTTGAAAGGGTGGTAATGCCTCACAACGACCCTTTGGTCACCTTAATAATGATCAACAACTATCAAGTCCAACGTGTGCTTGTTGACACCGGGAGCGCACCTGACGTCATGTACTACCATTGCTTTGAGAGCCTAGGGCTCAACCCAACTCTGCTACAACGTTACGATGGTCCTATATATGGCTTCGACAACCAACCAATTCAAGTCGAAGGGGTCCTAACCATGAATGTTGCATTTGGAAGTAGACGAACCTATGTGACTCCTTTAGTTCGATTTTTGGTGGTTAAGATGCCTTCCTTTTTCAACGTTGTCATTGGTCGGCCCACGTTAATAGATATCCGAGCTATGGTCTCTCAATCTCGTCTGTGCATGAAATTTCCAACCCCCATGGGCATAGCAACACTTAGAGGCAATCAAGAAGTAGCCATACATTGTTATCTCACTTCAGTCACGAGGCCACAGAAAGACAAAGACCAACCAACAGAAAACCCTCCACAGGAAATCCATGACAATCAACAAGTGATGGGGGTTGAAATTCTTGATAACCAACCTGAGAATGAAACCCGAGCTGCTTCAGGTGAAGATGTTGAGGAGGTACAGATTGATGAAAAAGACTCGAACAAGAAAACACAGATAGGAACTCGGTTGAGTCCTAAGGAGAGAGCAGAGCTGATAACCTTTCTCTGAGCTAACAAAGATGTTTTTGCATGGA